GTAATCAATAACGCCCAAGGACTTCCGTAACATCACAAAAGCCATTTTTATAAAAGTCGCATTTGCAATTACCCCCGTCTCGTCACAGAATTCAACCTTTAATAATAATTGTTTAATAAGCTAGATCTTTTGGAAGGGGCCCCGTGAATCTTGTTCGAGGTGCATAAGAAAACTCAAGGTCTACAACTGTCAGCGGTCAAGTGTATCCCATCAAAAACAATACTTGTCAAAAAAACCAAGTCTCGCAACTCAGTTGTTCTACGGTAAAAAGTTGTGAGATCCATGTAATACCAAGTCCAGGCCAGGAAATCTTTAACGTTTTACATAAATTATTGACTTGGCCATCGCACTAAATAATTTTATTTACACGTGTTTTCATGCGATGACCAAGTCAATATATTTATGTAAAACGTTAAAGATTTCCTGGCCTGGACTTGGTATTACATGGATCTCACAACTTTTTACCGTAGAACAACTGAGTTGCGAGACTTGGTTTTTTTGACAAGTATTGTTTTTGATGGGATCTCATTTCTTTTTGTATTTTGTAGACAGCAGTTATGTATCTAGAAAACTGGACCGAAATTGAAAAATTTTACTCGACTTGGCGGTTGCACTACCGTGCCCCCAAATATTTTAGTTTTTCCTTGATTCATACACCAAACACTTCTTATATTCCAAATTTGAAGCTTCTAGGTCTGCTAGAAGTGCCTTAGAGTTTTGATGATCGGTGAGTCAGTGAGTGAGTCAGTGAGTCAGTGAGTCAGTCAGTGAGTGACAAAATTAAGTAACTTTGACCCGTTATAATTCTTAAACTACTGGTTCAAATTGAATGAAATTTTAAATATACCGTGTCTTTACAATGCCTGCATAGCTAATGAAAATTCAGCCTTCTAGTTTTATCCACAACGAAGTTACAGGCGGTCGAAAATGGCCTGAATTGCTTCGAGAAAAGGATGGTACGGCCGTGCCGCTTTTTTGCTCGACTTGGTGGGGGCACTGCCGTGCCCCCAGATGAAAATAAACACTAATTAATAATTATTGACTCGATACAGAAAGTTGATGCTAGTGTACGAGTAAGTATTTTTGTCACCTGTTTCGTTTCATAATTTTAAAAATTACTGACTGTAACGCTTCTGTCACGGTTTTTACGATATTTATTATTATTTTGTGTAGAATATCTAGCGACAGCTATGAGTATAAACTTTGTAAAAAAAGTTATGACACTTTTTGACTCGACGATTATATGTATTATTTTGAGCACAAGTATTAATATTACTGGCAATTTCGTTCTTGAAGATGTTTATTTGCTTAAAATCATACCATTTCTATTTGAAATAATGAATAATGTAAGTTGCCATAGCATTAAAATTAATGAGGATGCCTCCCAGACGTCTCCGTCTGTAGACCACCCATTACCACAAATTCTTCTGTCGATAATTTACGAATTCGCATCTCAAACATCAGGCTTCGGTTAATTAACTTCAAATTAACGTGAGCAAATTAAGAGACGCAGTGACTAGTCCGCGCAAGACGCTGCCCACCATTGCAAAAAACTGGTCAAGTGTGAATGAAATCGATTGAGGGTTCCGAGTCCTAGTGGCTTTTGATTGTGAGGAATGGTTGATATTAAATGTCTTAATGGTGCATATACTTCTTCGGCTATAAAAACAGCTAACAATGTTGACAGAGAGTTCTTGTGATACCTCTTCTCATCAACAGCTGATATGGTTCTCCAAGTGAAGTGGACAAAAATTGTAATTTGAAATTGAAATCTTTACTACCGATTCTTATCATTACAAGCAACAAGTAACCCTGAACTGGGGTGATTTTGAATTGGTGCAAAGGCAAACTACATGGTCTTAACTACAAATGGAATTTTGAACTACAGCGAGACAAAATAGCAAAATCGCTCAAATTGCATTGCTTAAAGGATTTCTTTTTTGCTCGCAGAACCCAGCTACACTGGCTCGAGTGTTTGGCCAGTTTGACAGTCGCTAATGGGCGGCGATCTAAAGCGAAAGTGAGCTGTATATAACGCGAGGCAAGGACCAGACGCCTCGCATAACGTTAGTCGTACATTCCAACGCTATAAATGGAAGGATGTATGTAGAAACTGGTATCGAAATATGATCGTCTATTTTGATAGGTGTACAAAAATGGATGGCTGCAATTACTGTAATTTTAAGTGAATGAATTCCTTTTTGTGATAGATTTGTGATTAGCTTTCAAATCTTCTTTCCTGTACATGTTCCATTGAATTGTAATATTATGTTTGAATAAAACCAATTCAGTTAATTTTTGGTTATTCCATTTACAGTTTCACTAACTATTGATTTCGATCTTTGAAAGATTCCATGTCCAAAACTCCAAAATGTGTTCCGACTTCAAATTCCAAATGTTCGCCAATTGGAATTTAACCCTACAGTGGTCGCGTGGATTACACCCGTAATCCACTCGTGCAAATTGTCGAATATTTTGAAATCGGTCAACGCGATCGTTTTGATACTTCGTGTACTTTAAGTTGCATAGTCGAAGATCACACTTAATGACATGTGAGCGCCAGGTCGCTTTTGGATGTGTCGCAGGAGCCCCATAAATGCCGATGGTCTACCCGTGTAATCCGCGCGACCAATTACGTAAGTATTTTTTAAGTTACCTTTTTTACTTAATGTGTTTGTTTTTGCATTATTAGAGTAAATTAATGCTTTATAATAAATAATTACGGCATAGGTATGTATTTACATTTGTGTTTTCAATAAAATAATTGTATTTCAGATAAAAATCATGAACAATAGACAAAAAGCACAAATTGCAGAATGGCTAGAAGTAATTGACAATGAAAGCGTATCTTCTGGCGAGTCTTCGGTTTCTAATGAAGAAGTGCACATTCTTCCACAAGAGAACAAGTTTCTCAGACCAGTGATTATCCATCTAATTCAGAACCATCACAGCGGAGTTTTTTAGGTCGCTACTTTTACTGCGGAAGAAAGCGAAATCAAAGTACTGGAAATACTTGTAATTCGTGCAACAAATTTATTTGTCCTTATCATTCCATGATGGCCTGTATCTCCTGTTCAAAATATAAATAATAAATAAGTGCAATTAGTACTGGATAATTTCTAAACTGCCAAAGTTGACATTTTCTTGATGAAAAATGATGATTTTTATGTTTTGGTTAATTTATAAAAACTGAGAAGAACTGCTCGTTTCTTTGTTTGATTATTTCATTAACTAATACATAACAATAAATATAAAAAATAAAGAAACATGTTTTTATAAAGATATGTCTTCTTTTTTTACTCCATAAAATGGCTTACGCATGTAATCCGCGCGACCATTAACGTAATATTTTAGAGCGCGACTACCGTAGGGTTAAGTTAGTTAGCACATTCCAAAAAGGTATGCCGCTTCGTTTCCCATTGCTTCACATGTTGATTGTAGGCCCATTAACTTGGTAACAAAGAATTTCGTCGCCAAGTAGGTACTCGCCCAATGTTATGGGATGGGCGAGAGCTCGATGACTCAATACACAGTCGGAGGAATTTCTCACGAGTCTAATTTGAAGCTGCCACACCTACCGACAGGGGCACAAAACCAGTGGTACGACGTAGAATGTACCTTGTGGCTCCAACATTCTACGTACAAAGGACTCAAACCTTTAGGAAGCGATAATATTCATATCTCTCCACCTTTCTTTTTAATTAATATGCTAAAAGGCATTGTCAACACACCTACGTACTCCCATCGGTAACACGGCGTGGGCGGAAGTTTGTAGGCGATTTGACTGCGCGTGAGGCGATGTCATGGCCACTCATTACTTCAGAAACATCGTTTGACTCGATCGTATCGTAAAGACTTTCGGACGTAACGAACATCTAATAAGAAACACCGTTTTTGTTCGTTAAGCTTGGGATTATCAGCACGAATACTAGTATAATAGTGTTGGTTTAGTAGAATGTAGAATATGATATTTAAGAGGGTAGAAAGTAGAAGCCGTTGATGAGAATTGATAGGATTGTGTCCAAAAACGTACACGAATACTTGCAAACCATTAATATCTTATTGGAAATCTGGCCATCTATGGCGAGGCCTGTTTCTACGGGCCGGAGATTTAAAACATCCGTGTAACCTTCAGGAGTAGGAAAAGATCATGCGTTGCCGACAAAGGCCGACGGCGTTCGCGAATCAAGAGTTAACGGCGCGCGCGTCGCGGCCCGCCGGCGCCGGCGCCGCGACCTTGTCTAGCTATCGCGCGCCTGACCCTGCGCAGATTAGGTGATAGCCGCTTACTTTTCTTTCTACGCGCACCACCACAATATCGTAACGCACACTCGCAACTCGACAACAACAAGAAAAATACAACGCTCTCCATAATCTATTGACGCAAGCAATCCGCAAAGATTATTAAACTTAAAATGTGCGTGACCTTTAATATTTTAATAAAATAAAACCAAGAAACAACTAAACTGATGTCAGCTCTATAAATAGATTAACGAACGGAAATGTTTACACTTGTGCGATCCACTACTGGAATAGAAAACACTGGTTTCTAGCGATGTGGAGCATGAAACATGAGGACTGGAGGCTATGTGACAGGGCACACGAGACCGGTGACGTCACGGCAACGTAACGACAGATACAGAAACAAACAGTAGCGATAAATACTTTGATAACGATTGGCACTGATAACCGCTGCAATCGCGCGAAGTTAGCCACGGGGCGGGTGAAAATAACACCGGCTGGCCACGGGAAAGTGCACATGAACTCCTCCGGGACCCGCTGGCTCTCGGCCGACGGGTCACACGCAGCGAGAGGTTAGGTTAGGTTCGGAGATAAGCGATCACATGTCAGCCTTCACGAACGTTCCCAATCCGGCACAGATGCACTCCGCGCGTACACATAAAATCCGTTTCAATGAAGCGCACATTCTATTTTCAAAATACACTAGTGATTCGTGTTTACTCCATGCACTTGTTGCCGGGGTCAACGGCCGGACGTACCGGGTTTGCAGAGGCGGCTCCAGTGGTAAGGGTTGCAGCAGTGCTGGTCGGCGCAGTGGGGGGCCCTGCGGAGCTCGCCGAGGTCTCGCAGGTCGGGGAACCTGTAGGCGCGGGTGACGGCCAGGCGGAGCAGGGAGGCGGCGTGGCCGGCGGGCACGCAGTCGGCGCCGGCGGGCCCGGCGTCCAGGGCGCGCGCCAGGCGCCGCAGCTGGTCGGCGGGCACCGCGGGCGCGCCGGCGGCCGCCAGGCGCCGCCGCAGCGCGTGCCGTCTGAACATCACATGCCGCGGCGTCACGAGCCGCGCGCTCGCCGCCGCGCGACATCTCTCGCGCACGTCATCGCTCGCCGCGTGCGCGCTTGCAACTGCCGCCGCCCGCGCGCTCAGCGGCCGCTGACGCGACACCTGCACGCGATGTTTACCCGAGCCCGTGCAGCCCGGACACCCCGATCCCGGTGCTCGACTTATGAAATAAGACTCCCTACGTTTTGATTGGATGTCTTGAAATTTCAGCATATTTTCGGTTAAATGCTGTGTACCTACCTAATAAAGTTTCATGGATGCAATATGTATAATACAATAATTTAAAGTTTAAAGCTGCCACAATTTAAATAGTTCGGTTGACAAAAATGATTTACATTAGACAAGTTTCTATTAAAAATATTTATGGGTAATAAAATCTGCCAATACAAAATCCTAGAAAGTAGAAATAAGTGGTCTTTGTATGAAAAATTTTTAGGACAGATCCTAGAGTATTGATGTAAAAAAAATAAATAGTAATTTAATTAAATTAATAGGAAGCGTTAAGTAAAATAAAGTACAATTTATTTATTAATAACATTAATTTCACCATTTATTTTAGTGTAAGAAACGTGCAACAATGTCAAAACAAAAATATCTTCCTAATAAAACCAAATCCTCGTTCACATCAAATCCCGTCCATTACAATACTGCAATCCACCAAACAATAAGTCGCCAACATTTTCCGCGTCTCCCCAATCAATCGGCAATCTCCCCGCTCGCCGGCGGCGCGGCGGGCTGGCAACCCAGCGGGCGCGGGGGGCGGGCGGCTGGCGCCACCGGCGGCGTCAGGTGCGCGCGCCTGTGTGCGTGCGGCGCCACCCGCCCGCTTCGGACACCGAGCAACGAGTTTAGGCGAAGAGAATGTGATGTTTTGTGGATACGAGAGGCGCGTCGCTGAGAGACACCGTAGGTTTTTTTTTGAAAAAAAAAAGAAAATCGAAACATTACTTCATATTCAAATAGTTTATTCAGTACATAGGCCCTTACTAGGGCACTTTATACACGTCCCAAATATGTACATATAGCTTGCCCACCACCAAAAAACAAAACCAACATAGTCTTTATAGGAAAGTAGGTAAATACGTTACTTCTGTACTTTAATTTTCAGAACGGATATTTATTTATTACCGTGTTAATCGCAGGTATAATAGGTGTACCATTCAAATATACATAGAAGTCTGATTTCTTTCATATCGTATTCGTTCGTCGCAGGTTAATGCGACATCTACTACCCATTATTACCAATAAAATAAAATAAGTATAAAATAATAATTGAAATCATAAAAATTGTTAATTCAACGTAGTACATACCTACATAACATTTTTATTAATACAATTACGTCAATCATTGTGTTTCCGTGGGCGTCAATTAGGTATAATTAGCAATTAAAAATCACAGGTGCACAGTCTAATATTTATGTAGGCGAAACACGTGAATTCAACCGTAACACACCCCTGTACCATTGACGCATAATAATCATGTGATTGAAACTTAATTCATGATCTGATAATTATTAGCATTTTGTTAATGATTGTTGCTCTGCCCACAATGTTTTGGTGCCTGGTAAAAAGGAGGTATCTAATTTCAATAACTAAAACTAACTTAAACTAACATGAGCAGCTAGCTGTATCAACGATACAGAAACTTCTTTTAGGCAAGGCTGAAAAAATAAATACTCGTGTATGTACCGAAAGACATTTAATTAATGATTTAATAAGCACAAAATAATAGAGATGAATTTTCATAACCGTAAAAGGTAGAATGAATTTAAAAAAGTCCCCTCTGCACACTAAATAATCTTTGTCTATCCATCGTCGGAATGCGCGAGCTAAAAGACACATGAAGTTAATAAATAATGGCCGCTCCTTCAAGATAATGCGTCCGAATCTTAGCCATACAACATCACCGCCACCATACAACTAGAAGTTACCAACCGCGGGTAACGACCGCGGTGGCCTAGTGGCATGCGCTGCCTCAAAGGTCGCGGGTTCAAAACCAGCGAAAGTTCGAATTCTAGTGCGGTGTGAAAATTAAAAATGTAATCTGGTTCTCTTAAGGACATTTCGAAAATGCCGTCATGTAGGTGGACAGGAAGAGATGCCGACCGTGGGAGTTAGGTATTTTATTTTGTCTATTAAAAGAAGGCGTGCCGAATAAATGCATAATAAAGTTATTGTGATTCAGAAACAAGAATTAACTAGTTGTTTTTATGATACAGTACACGTGACCTGTACTTATACAAATAGGTACACTAACTATAATGACAACTTTAATGCATTTAATGATTAAATGGCAGAAGTTTATGCATTATCTTAGTTTATTAAAAAATATAGGCGCTATAGGAACATTTTGTGATACACATGGAATGAAGGTGACATTGGTTCAAATGTTTTAGCTACCTGCTTTAATTTAATAGTATGAGCACAGATAATATAATACTAGTATGAGTTAAAATTAATTTCTTTCAGAAATTAAATTATAATGACGTCAATCTTCAAAGCGTTGATAAAATAAGTCAAATGGGCCTATTTTTGTAGTAAGTTTAAAGGATTAAAGATTAAGACGATAATATTATAATCAGATTAACATAAACATGTCAATAGCCAAGTCAAGATTGTTGATTAGAAAAATAATTTAAGAGTAGTATGATAAATCAAAGATTGTTTTTATTCTTCATTTAAATAATAAAATAAAATATGCATTATTGAATGAAGATTTTGTTATAAAATGTAAGCAGATATCTCGGTATAACAACCTACCTTCGTAATTTGAATAATGAGAAATGCAAAATAATAATATTGGACTGATTGTTACTTTACAAAAGAACTCATCCCATAAAATGCAATTAAAAATAAATTTATGACTAAGTACATACAAACATAAAAGTTCTAAAGTTCATCAGAAAGAAATTGACGCCAACTTTAGAAACTGGAAGTCAAAGTTTATTAACTTGAACAACTGCGATAACTAACTGCTTGAGTTAACTTTTAGTTCACGCAGTCGAGCATAGATGTCGTTAGGAGTACTGAAAACGCTCAATCTACCACACCATTTGTAAAGAAAACTCTTTAAAACACATTTTCAGTAAAAGTTTTAGTATGTTATTAAATAAAATAATAATTGAAATAATTTAAGGAAAACGTCTTACTTAGGTACTTATTTTGTTTTGGTTAATGTGTTTTATGAATATTGCTGTTTATTTCCTTAAATAAATGAAAGAATAATTTATTAAATGAAAAACTTGCATTTGAAAAAATTAAATGTACTTATTTCGACGTGTAGCATACAAGTACTTACTTAAAATTCGTCGTAGTGTCTCACGATATAAATTTTTTGTAAGTTAATGTTTTTAGTTAATTCTTAAAAAGATTGTTCAATATCCTTTGAATGTGTACTTAACACTTAAAATATGAAATAAACCGTTTTTAGTCTACATGAAAAATATTGAAACCAGAAAAGCGACTCTAACACAGAATAAGTAAATATCAACTCAATTTTCATTTAATTAACTCCCTTTAACATTATTTATTTATTTAACTCACAATGTTTAAGCGATGATATTTGTTTGCAAGTTTATTATTTTTATTTTTACCTCATAAAAATTTTTTTTGTATTTAATCATAATGTTTTAATAAATAATATAATTAACATAATAATTACCTTCTGTACTATCGTTCCAAACCATTATAAACACTGTAAACTTCACACTTAAACATCTAACAAGCTCTGTTTATTGTCGACTACGCGTAGGAACCTACATTTGAAAGTTCGCCCGCGCTAGGGCGGGCCGCCCAGCGAGTCCGGCGGCGTAGGGCGGAATGGCGGGAAATGCTCGGCGCCCTCGTATTTATGCACTGCTGGGGCTGAATGAAGTGATATGTCGACTTTGAATGAAAGTTGCGAGTTGAAAACTCTTTGTGTATGTGGAGATTTGGCTTGGTTTTGCTAAAAATGTTTTCCGTCTTTTTAAAAAGTTTCCATTAGGTACGTAGCTAAAAGACTGAAACAATACATACACTTTTCCAGTAGCAAAAGTTGAAGTAGAGGCCTGATACTCTCTATAATTTTATTAGAGGTCAGCATTAATCGTCGAAAACCCAAAAAAAATGTAGGTATTATTTCAGAAACAGTAATATGAACCAGTGAGAAAAAACGTCAAGTAATTTAACTTTGTGGACCGTAAGAACCGTTTATTATGAGTTGCAGTAGGTAGTTGCAGTTGAGTTAGGCAGTTATTAATAACGGAGCATAATTATTGGAACAATAAAATTAAAGTCGAGATCAGTAAGAATCGCAAAATAAAAATTTCAAAACAATGAGGGTTTTCGCGATTGAAAAATCCGCCAGATGGCAATACGTAGATGCGAGGTCCAAATGCTGCGTAATTGGTGGATTTTGACATATCTGTCAATGTCATGTCAAAAATGCTGCCAATCATGCAGCATTTGGACCTCGCGTCTACGTAGTGCCATCTGGCGGATTTTTCAATCGCGAAAACCCTCATAAGAAAAAAATCTGTCAGAAAATACCACCACAGATTTAAACTCAATTTTCCCGTCACCAATCGATCCAAGGCATCGGCCGCGTCCAGCCAATGACCGTCACCGAAATTGTTTATCTTGAACAATAACCGACAGATTGGCAGCGCTAGGTGTCCGGCGGCGCCGCGCCGACACGACGGCGGCGCGGCGCCCGCGCGACGTCGGCGCCGCACACGTAACCGACGCGTTCGGATACAGGCTCTTGTTGAATGGGTTTAGAAAAATAAGGTAGTCTTACAGAACTTCTGATGGTTTACCTCATGACGACTATCATGAGGTAGAGAGGGATAGCTCTCTGGTGTAATTAGTAGTCGCCACAACCGTAACCGATGCGTTCGGATACAGGCTCTTGTTGAATGGGTTTAGAAAAATAAGGAAGTCTTCTTCTTCTTTTTTGATGATGTTGGCAATACACGTCGAAGTCGACTTGATTGGTGCCATTTTCAAGTATTTATGTGATACGAGTTACAAAATGAGATCAAGTAATGATATTATAATGAATGATGATAGATGATACACCTTCCCACCCTTTGAGTCTTAGTAAAGTTGTGGTGCTTTACTGAGACCTCCTATGGACAACTTGAGAGAACCAGAAGAATCACGATGCACTGTTTTGCTTCACTTGCCCACACTCATGCACGTTCACGAACACTTAATGGTTAATAATCCACCATTATTACACATTA